CATTGGTAAGCCATTCGAAGCCATCTGCAACTGAGTTTTTGTGACTCAATAAAGATTAGATCAGGTTTCCGAAGGCAACTGCCAAAGCTTGTTGGACAAGTGTAATACTTTACTTATCTATCTTGATGTCAAATACGCTTTATTTATTTTATGGTATTTATGATGGTATTCTTTTTTTCTGTCTCTTAAGATCAAATCCCAGTACAAATAGAAAAAAGATAACAAAACAAAGAATGCAACATGGAACAGATTTAAGGTTAGCCAATTTTGTAAAACCTGATGATGACCTTGACTGTGCATATGGTGGGAAAATAATCACTTAATCATCATAACTTTTGGAATCAACTCTATCCAAGTTGGCTACCAGAGCAGATCAACTTTTTAGAACCTTGAAGGGGGCCGCACCTATTGAGGTGCCCCTGCTTTAGATTCTTGAACTAATTTAAATGAAGTTCCAGGGTGTTTAAAACTCTGTGCCAAGAAACTCTAGATCTAAGCTAATTCACACACCCACACATACACAACAAATGGTTTTTACTCAAGATACTACGAACAAAGATTGTTCACCATCATGGTTTAGGGCAGGGTTTCTCAACCCTTGCCCCCAGTGCCCCCTGTCCTGTATGTTTTCAATGTCTCTGCTTCAAGCACAACTGATTTACATATTTGAGGACATCAGGTGCTGCGGGAGCCTGTTAAATGCCACGGGCTACCTGAGCATTGTTTCTGACCATGTCCATCCCTTCATGACCACCATGTACCCATCCTCTGATGGCTACCAAAGGAGACAAATGAACTCTGACTTTAACATTTTTGTTTGTTCATCTTGAAAAGTGGTTGAAATGAACATAAATTAACATACAATAACTGCCTGGGTAATTTTTCTTTTCCTGACTTGCAGCCTGAAGCAGCGCAGAGGTTCACATGAGCAAATCCATAAAGGAGCTAATGAAATGAAAGAGTTATCCTTAGTTATTTGTTATTTTCTTTGTCATAAAGTAGACGTTGGTCAGAGCTGTTTTATGCCTTCACTCAGTGTAATGTTTTGTTGGATGGGATGTGCGAATGTGAGATCAGTGCTTGAAGTGATGGAGGTTATTATAAGTGAGAAATATTATGAATGAAGTGTCTGTGTTGCTCAGTTGGAAGGAAGGTGCGCACAGCTGAGTGGAACTGAGGTGATAAGTCCTTTTACTGCTGCCGACTATTACCAACCCAGTCGTGGTAGGAAAGCTAGACAGGACGGATGATGCAGAAACCAGCAAGCTCCTGGCAGAACTAACCCGATTCAATTACTGGGCAATCCGCTCAACCTAATGAGCTACTGCTGCCCAAAATTTTTGCACAAACTAAAAAAATTCACTCATCTGGGCTGAGCCCCATAATTTCTTCACTCTTATGGGCTCGACACATGGGAGGCAACAAACAACAGCAAAACTCGTCGCTTTCGCTCAGATAACCTTACACACGGGAGGCGACATGCGCCAGCAGCAAAAGCCGTGACACCCTCTGTTCCAGGGCGAATTGCGAATCTTCCATTGCTTTGTGCGGCCATCAGATGGGAAGGAATCTGGGGTTATTAAAGCAGTTCAGAGTCGAAAAAGCAGTAGATATGACATCTCAATGCTTTACTGGAGCTTAGTGAAATCTATATTTTGTAGAAAAGTCGTAAAGCTCTGGGAAATCTAACATGGAGGAAAATGAACTTTTCCTCCATATTTGCCCGGAAATGTACTGAGAGACATTTCGTCCGCTCATTGGTCATTCGATGAAACCTCCGCTGATTGGTACTTGTCTGAGCGACAGCGATGAAAAGTTGAAAATTTCTCAACTTGCTGGGATCGCGTCGCTGGCTCACCCTTGCACGACACACGCACAAGTGCAAAATCTCACATGCACGTTTTTTTTGCTTGTCACTTAGAAGAAGAAGAAAAAATCTTGTCTATAGCGCCTCTCAAGATAAAAATCACGAGGCGCTTCACAAAAACAAAAATGTAAAATATAAAAAGATTTTCAAAAATGATTAAAAATATGTTTAAAATGAATCTTAATAAAGTTAGCAGGAGGGAGACCCAAGATTATCACTTTGTAGTGCATAAAATAAATGGAGGAGAGGTGATACCGCCTCCTGTGTGTCGAGTCCACTGAACCCGCCACTGTTGCACACGATCATAGACAAAAATGTCATTGCCATCTTTTTGCCTTTTAGGCATGTCAATTCTTTAAAAGGTAAATCTTTAAATCTGAAAAGAGTTAACAATACTGATGTGAAATTATTAACTGGTTGTTTCTTGTTGTGGACTGATACTCATTGTAACTTTTTTATTATGATTAAATACAAATGGTGAAAATACAGCTATGAAGACTCAGAAATTATTCTAAGTTTTTACATCAAACACAATTTGGATGACGTTTCTCAGAGTTGAAGAAACTGCAGTTACATTCATTCCCATGATTTTGTTTTTAGTTGTCATGTTAGATTTACTTTGCGGCTCTTTCCACCACAGAAGGCTGTGAGGGTGCTGAATTCTGAAAAAGGGGGGGGAAGGGAAAGAAAAGATGTTGGATGTTACTTCCATGCTTGACTGTGTCATGCACAGTGACAGTCTGTCTGCAGTAAGAGGGAGTTGTTACACGTCAGGCAGACCAGCAAACACTAGGATGACAGTCAATGAAATATTCAAATCAAACCACTGCTGGTGATGGTTTGAAACATAATTTAAACAAAAGAAATGCACATAAAAATGCATGTGGGAATGACATGTTAAGGTCTTTTTTGTTATTCTTCTCTGTAATAAATACATTTGTGATTTATTGTTGTCAATTGAAACTTAAAGTCATGGCAACATTTTATTTTTTGGTTTGGAATTTTTTTTTCATCCGAGTGACTAAAAGTTTAACTATACATCCATTCATTTTCATATGCTTATCAGGTCACAGGGGCATCAGCAGAGAGGTCAAGACTTCCCCCTTCCCCAGCCACTTGGGCCAGCTCCTCCGGGGGAATCCTAAGGTATTCCCTGGCTAGCCAAGAAACATAGTCCCTCCAACGTGTCCTGGGTCTTCCTTTAGGTTTCATCCTAGTTGGACGTGCCTGGAAAACCTCACCAGGGGGCGTCTAGGAGGCATCCTAACTAGATGCCTGAGCCACCTCAACCGGCTCTTCCCAATGTGGGGAGCAGCGGATCTACTCCGAGCCCCTCCCAGATGACCAAGCTTCTTACCCTGCATAGAAAACTCATTTCAGCTGCTTGTATCCACGATATCCCATAGTAAAAGTAAAGTGGAAATAATATTTTGTGTGATGGCCACTACTAAGCTGGCTCCTGCAGCTTGTATTTCCTTCAAATGTGATTAAAGTCTATGAGATAGAAAATAACCAACAGTTTAAGAAGCTAAACTTGGAAATTTGAATAATAAAGACAGCCCCCCCCCTAAAAGCGAAGTAAATTACTGTTTATCTATATATAAAATGTCATGCATTCATTAGCTTTTGAATCCTTTTCTCATGTTGCACCGTATGCACTGTAACTGCTCACTATTTACTTGTCTTTCTTTTGATTTAATTTGATCTCCATGTTTTGTGTATTTTAATTGTGCTGCCATGTTGCTTTAATGTTCATGCCATTCTCATTAATGGAAAGCACATTGAAGTGCCTCTGTGTGAAATGCGCTATACAGATAAAGCTGCCTTGCCTCAAATTAAATTTAATAAGCTCAATCAATCAATCAAAGCTTTATTTATAAAGCGCCTTCCGCAACCCTGTCAGGAAGCCCAAAGCGCTTACATAAGCTGCAAATACATTTTGAACAAACTGGTCAAAGCTTCAATTTGTTCTGAAACAATAAAGCTTATTGTCTGTTAATTGAGCAAAAATAAATCCCTATAAGATTTTATCCATGGAAAAAGGAGTCAGGTGGACTTTATTTGAAATGTATCTAAAGGTGGTTTTTTATTTATTTTGCTAAATTTGTTTTGCTCCTTTATGACATTAGCTTTAAATGTCCACAACTAATTATTTTCTACGTGTGTATTTATATAAATGTTTATAACATGTTTTTAAAACAGTTTTTCTTATACACCTAATAAATTATAATTAATTTCATGCTTCAAGTGTTTCCCTGAGCTGGATTATGGTTGCTTTGGGTTTGTGTTGCATCAAAAGACTTGGGAATCATTTAACTTTTAGAGAGGGAAGACATAAACCAAACAATTCAAGGTACTCTGGGCATCACCCAGCTGAACACAAGAGCTTGGGAACATCAGGGAAAAGCAGGCTGGAGCACTCTGATCACAGAAATATTTGAATAGATGCAGATTAAATTAAAATTTCAATACAAAACAAATTAGAGGTCCTGGGTTTAGCTTTAAACTCGTGTATTTTTGTTTTATTTGAAATCATAGACTATAGATGAGAAATTAAAGTGCTAGAAATGCTCTGCTCTGCAAGAAATGCTCTTTGCTCTGCTGCCACCTGCTGGAATTAGCAACAAACTGCATGTGTCCTTCTGTTACAACTCTAGTGAAAATCTGTAAAAGATGATCCATTTCCCTTTACAGCACAGCAAATGTTTAAAATAATAAGCTAAAGTATCAATTCAAACAGACAGCATTGTTTGGAAAATGAGAACTTTATTACAACACACACATTATATATATATATATATATATATATATATATATATATATATATATATATATATATATATATATCACCTTGTCATTTATATAGTAAACAATGAAAATTGGCCACAGTGGATATAAAGTCAGACAAAAATATCGTCATTGTCAAAAACACATCACATGCTCGTAAACATTCATTAACCTGCGGACAAGTCACAAAATACAGAGATGTGAGCATGCCGGACTCCTGAAAAACCCACATATATTTGCATATTAACTGTACAGAGTCTAGTTGCATATCGAGTTACTGTTGTAGCAGGTTCACTTGTGCTGCGGTTAAACTGGTTCAAAGACAAAGTAATGTGTGTGTGATGAGTGACGATGAACGGCTGCTGTTGCTTTTGAGCAGCAAATATATTAAAAAAGTAGTTTGTGCTAAGGCAACCATGACTTTTTAATGTAAACAGATAAAAAAATAAAATGCTCTGTTGAAATAACCAAGTTACTTTTCAATTTTTCACGTGATTAAGTGCCATTTCCTCTAAATGCATTCAACTTTCTCCAGAACAATCACAATGCATAGCTGCAGGAGTGGAACGCAGCCCTTGCTAACACACCTGTGCTTTGCTCTCTTGCAAGTAAAGAAACACCTACAACAACAACAAAGGAAGTCATGCTATTGTAGTGCACTGAAAACAGGAAGTGAATTTAGCTTATAAACACCCATAACATCTGTTTATTCCCATGATTACTGAAAACATCCATGGTTCCAGAAAAGCATAAGAACTTAATTTTAATTCCATTTTTGGTTCTTTTTAAAACACAGGAAAGGTTTCTCTTCACCTTGCTGACAGTTTCGTTTGCCAACTGCAAAATATCCTCAGAGCTATTGCTCTGCTCCGTGTGTGTGTGTGTAGCTTTTGTACATGTCAAATAAAATATCTCCTTTTCCAGCTGAAATTGCTTTATGTCCTCAGAAACCAGAGTGGTGAAATCACAGGCTGCAGCAGTACTCAAATAAGTACTACAAAGTACAGGAGGTATACAGCCCAGTACTTATCCTGCTCTTTGCATTCAGACATCAGTAGTGTGCTAAAGATAACCTGGTTTTTAAAGCCTAACCCTGTAAAGTCAGCATGTTGACATAGCTGATCTAAATGATGTCAGAGCTGTGTTTTAAAAAGAACCAAAAATGGAATTAGAACTAGACACAGTAAGAACATACCAAAGCAACTTAATCTTAATCCAGATGCAAAAGGAAATACATGAAGTTGCTTGGAATGGAACAATATAAAAACACTGAAAAATGTACGATCATTAGATGGTCAGTAACATGTCATGTTTTTTTTTTTAATTTGATTTATGTTGAGAAAAATGGTCCAAAAGGCTGATGCATAAAGGCAGGACAAAAACTAATAAAACATGACTGAAATTCAGCAGCTGCGTGACCTAAAGGGCGCTGGAGATGAAATATGAAGCCGCAGAACTAAAAACTCATCCAGATTGATACCCATAAATGTGACAAAAGGAGGTCATGATGGATTTGAAGGTGCTGAAGAATCTTTAGCACGATTTTACTGTTAAATTACAGCAACAAATAGTTCACTCTGAATAAAATGTGGAAGATGACATGGCCCGATTCTGTCACATCTCAGAACTCGCCTTTAGATAAACCATAAAAACCTAAAAGTAGGAAAATAGATCAAGCAATAAAAAAAATGTCAACACTAAAATTTAAAGGATAAGCAGTAAAAAGAAAGCAAATCCATACAAGAGAACACTTAAAGTACTCATATCTCACATATTTACATCAACAAAGACTTTGTATAAAAGTAGACATCTAGGAAGGGGCCTGTGGCACGCCTGGTGGGCGAGCGAGGCTAACACGATGCAGACTTAGTGTCAACGAGGGAAGAAGGGGGTCTTCAGCACACACGCAAGGCAGAGCTGTGGTGCTGAGGCAAGATGCTATCTTCCTCAGAGGAGTTGGCTTCTGTGTTTTGACCGTGTCCGTTACCCGTTGTGGCGTGAAGCGTATTCTGGGAGAAACCTTTATTAGGGGTTCGGCCAATTCTGTGATATGGACCTTTGAGTTTGGGGTGTGTGTGTAAAGAGCAGTGGGATCTTTTGACGAGACGAGCAGCAGCAGCAGAGTCCATCTGGGTAGTCGGGTCCTGTTTTTCGAAAACATTCGCGGAACTGCCCGAGGGGTGTAGCGTTGGCTCGGCATCGGGTAAGAGCTGCGTGGTGGTACAGAACGCTGCTTCGTACAGCCCGAACGCCTGCTCCAGGGTTGTGGGGGGTTCTCTGAGTGGGAAGGAAGCATCCAGCAGGTCGCTCGGCTAACAGGCAGATCAAAAAGGTAGCATTAGGTTCATCAGAATCACTGAAGTAGTGTAAACCCACATTTAATGTAGCGCAGGTTTATGGTCAAAATGAAGAAAAACATCCAAAAATGAACTGTTTGTAACTAAAATGAGATGCATTGATGGAATGATTTAAAAAAAATGTAAAATATATTCAACATTCACACTTTAAAATGTCAACATCATATATCTCATTATAAATTAAGTTACTTTTAGATAAGTAAATGTAAATAAATTCTAAACCCTGATTGTAGGATGAGGTCAGGATGGAGAAAGTCTCAAAACTATCCACCTTTTTCCTGGTTCTAATATTAAAAGAAGCATTCAGATAAAAAATAAATACAAACTCATTAAAAAAATTACAACACAACTTCTGTACATTCATTCTGTGCACTTTGTCTTGCATTGCTTGGAACCAAGCAATGCAAAATTACTGCAAATTTGCTGAATTCTAAGTACTTATAAATGTAATGGTTTGCAAATATTTTACAACCATTTACATTTGCTCCAGTTCAAGTCACAGCAGGCATCTCAAAGCATTTATACTTCAGCAGAATTAGTGCTGAATGGAGCAAACTAGCCTGGACGTTGTTAGGGGAACAAGCTCGTTCATGTGAGATATTGAAGACCTTCACGCCCACTTTAACTGGTTTTGCTTGATATGAAAACGCAGAGATTCTAATGTTGCACAGTTTCTTCCCTCCGTGTCTTTGGGTGTGCAGAACTACCTTCTACAGCAGGCAACCAGAATGCATCCTATTACATGTAAAGATGGAAAACAGAAGGCTACCGTCGGTCATTCATCCCCTCTCGAGTAAGAGTGTTTAACTCCTCAGTTTAACCCTCCCACTGTCTTTATGGGCGACCCCGCGAGGAAAGTTGACCATTGAGCAGAGTTGATGGTTTATCCCTTGGGTCCATGTGGCAGGGGTGAGGTGGTGCTCACTCCTCACCCCTGCCACATGGACCTCAAGGAATAAACTATCAATCCTGCTCAATGGTCAACTTTCCTTGCGGGGTCGCCCATAAAGACAGTGGGAGGGTTAAGTGGTACTGGCATTATCCTGGTACACAATAACATCAATGCAATATGTGTTCAATACTTGTGTAATACCAGATACCAGGGCCAATTTTATTTATTTAGTTACATTGTTACACTTTAAAATAAAAACTGATTATTATAAAACCATGTTAATCAAACAATATATTGTTGAGTTTTAAAAAATGGGTTTGGATATAATTTAGGTTTTGCAGGTTTAAAAAAATTTGGAAAGAAAACATTAAAAAAATAACTGAATTCAAAGAACTGTCACCTTATCGTGGTGGAGGAGTTTGAGTGCCCTAATGATCCTAGGAGCTATGTTGTCTGGGGCACTTTGTGCACCTGGTAGGGTCTCCCATGACAAATTGGTCTTAGGTGAAGGGTGAGACAAAGAACGGTTCAAAGGATCTTTCATGGATGTAAATTCAAAGAGTTGGAGTACCCGGCCCGGAGGGTTACCGGAGTTCCACCCTGGAACCAGGCCTGGGGTTGGGGACCGTGAGCAAGCGCCTGGTGGCCGGGCTTTCGCCCATGGGGCCCAGCCCGAACCGGATACATGGGCTCATCCTACTGTGGACCCACCACCCGCAGGAGGAACATGAAGGGTCAGGTGCAGTGTGGATCGGGTGGAAGACCAAGGCGGGAACCTTGGCGGTCCAATCCCAGGACAAGGAAACTGGTTTTTGGGACATGGAACGTCACCTCGCTGGCGGGAAAGGAGCAGGAGCTTGTGGCATTGGTTGAGCGTTACCGGCTAGATATAGTCGGACTCACCTCGACACATAGCATTGGCTCTGGAACCCAAGTCCTTGAGAGGGGTTGGACACTCTCCTTTGCTGGAGTTGATCCGGGTGAGAGGCGGAGGGCTGGGGTTGGCTTTTTGTTAGCCCCAAGACTCTCTGCCTGTGTGTTGAGCTTTGGGTAATGACCAAAAGAACGAGATCGCGGATACAAGCGGCTGAAATGAGTTTCCTCCGTAGGGTGGCCGGGCTCAGCCTTAGAGATAGGGTGAGGAGCTCAGACATTCGGGAGGGACTCGGAGTAGAACCGCTGCTCCTCCGGATCGAGAGGAGTCAGTTGAGGTGGTTTGGGCATCTGGTCAGGAAGCCTCCTGGATGCCTCCCTGGGGAGGTGTTTTGGGCATGTCCTGCCGGCAGGAGGCCCCCGGGTCGACCCAGGACACGTTGGAGAGGTTATATCTCCAATCTGATCCGGGAACACCTTGGGGTCTTGCCAGAGGAGCTGGTGGAGGTGGCTGAGGAGAGGACGGTCTGGAGCTCCCTAGTTGGGATGCTGCCCCCATGACCCGGACCCAGATAAGCGGAGGAAGACGACGATGACGAATTCAAGAAAACGTATTTTTCAAGAGAAATTTCTTAATTTACCAAGAAGGTGATAAAACTGATTCAGAATGTTTGCTGTAGCAGCAAATCTATATTAATAATGAACAGACTCATTTACTGTGACAGCACTTAGGAAAACTACAGCATCAAGTTTATTTTGTTAAGTGTTATTTAAAATAGGAAATATTATTGTTTTAAATGCCATTACCATCCAAATGAAAATATAAAATATAAACAAAAACATAAATATGTCAGTTTAAATGTTTTGTTAATTGATGTACTATTTCTTTTTGGGGTTATTTTAGAATATTTTAGCAGAATTAGATTTTAGATATTAAAAAGGTAACACCAATGGTTCCAATGAGATCAGACTGACCAAATGCAGAGAACCATTAAAGTGTTTAATTTTGTTATTAAGATTATTGTTATTAATGGGCAAAACTAAAGAGCTTTTGAAATTAAATCCAACAAAAAACAGCTTTGAGCCAACAGCCAAAGACTGCTGGTTTTACGGATCATTTGACACATTTTCATTCACCTCGCTACCACTCCAGGTATGTCCATTCCTCATGTTCTTCTCCATATACCATCTCATCCTCTTCATAAAACATGCCATCCTCATGCTCCGCCTGTTGGCCCCGAAAACAAAGAGTGATTTGGTGAACCAGTTATCCCCTCATCTGAATGGCTGCTGTGACCTTTGATCAACAGCTTGTGGCGTCAATAAACGATCGTACTTTACATGGTGGAGTTAATTTAAATAATAAAAATGGACTGAAATGTACAAAAGACAATAAAAAGAAACAGTAAAGGACAAACAAACATAAAATAATTAGCAGTCCAATGGGATGAAAAGATAACAGCGATGACCCTGACCTTTTGGATTTCACATGTGTTATAAGGAGTTCCTGGGTATGGAATTTGATCAATTCCCGTAGCCATGTCAACAACAATCTCATCTCGATGCATCGGGATGGGTGGGCCTCCGCGTTCCTGCAGGGCCAAGACGATGACTGTCGTATTGTCTGCCCGGAGCATGCGTTCTTTCCAAAACAGGAGAGCTGTGCACCCCAGCCTCCGGGCACAAGACATTCCCTTTGGTCCCTTTGGAAATTCAAAAAGAAGAAAAATAATCTGTTTAAAATAATCTCTTTAGCTATAAATTCCTTCCTATCCAATGCTGCTTTTTTAATAAGCACAACATTAGTTTCTCTATTACTTACCACCATTTTATCGTGGCTGTGACACATATTAACAGCATTTTTGGGTGGCATCATATTCCACAATCCATCGCTCCCGAGAATGATATAACGATGCCGTTTGGGGTCAAGGGTAATCACTGTGGTGTCAGGTTCTGGTGAGACCACAAACTCCCCACTGTAGAAATCATAGCTCCACAGATCGCCTGTCCAGAGAGAAGAAATGAGGAGTCATCATTTTGCATCTGATATGGATCCATGGTTTGGAAAATAACCGGATGTAGCCTTTACCAAGTGATCGAGCTACCGCCAGGAACGGGATCTGGTCTATGACTGTGCTCCTCCTCACGGGGCCGTTGTGTGTCAATCTGGGCCTTTTCCATACAACGCGGTTCACTCCGGATTTCTTCATGACACTACAACAATAAAATACCAAGCAAAGCTGGGAGGACGAACTGGAAAACTATAGAACAGAATTTATCTTATTTGGCTAAAGAAATGCATTGCTGTCAAAGCAAGGAAAAACATAAAGGAGCAGCATCTTGCAATACTTTCTCATTATTCCAAGGCACAAAAACTCATCCTCACGAGTACATTTCCAATAAAAACTTAATATATTTAAAAGATGGATTCAGATGGAGCCCCTTTATGCCTTTAGAATAACCTGTAATTTGTCCGAAAAGCATATTTCTCCAAACTTAAGTTGAGCTGTCCTCCACTTTGAAAACAACAGAGAAACCAGCTTCTGCGTTGATTTCCTGCCCACGCAAATTTGCGGTACGTCCACCTTCTTGCAGAAGTGTAGCTTTCAAAGTAAAATTTGACTTCCAATTTGTGCTTTTTCATATTTAAACACTTTGAAACCTCTTAGGCTTCATAATCTTGCAGTGGCTAGTGCCACTTATCTGGAGTTGGGTCGCGGGGGCAGTAGCCTAAGCCGAGAGGCTCAGACTTCCCTCTCCCCATATGGGCCAGCTCCTTTGGGGGAATCCCAAGGCGTTCCCTGGCCAGCCGAGAGACATAGTCCCTCCACCGTGTCCTGGGTCTACCTTTAGGTCTTCTCCCGGTTGGACGTGCCCAGAAAACCTCACCAGGGAGGCGTCCTGGAGGCATCCTGACCAGATGCCCAAGCCACCTCAACTGGCTCCTCTTGACGTGGACAAGCAGCGGGTCTACTCAGAGCCCCTCCCGGATGACCGAGCTTCCCACCCTATCTCTAAGGATGAGCCCAGCCACCCTGCGGAGAAAACTCATTTCAGATGCTTGTATCCGTGATCTCGTTCTTTCGGTCACTACCCAAAGCTCATGACCATAGGTGAGCGTTGGAATGTCGACCGGTAAATTTGGATTGTGTTTATGTTTATGTATTTAGCAGACGCTTTTGTCCAAAGCGACTTACAAGTGATAATCGGCATGTTGCCCTTGAGGGTAACAACAACAATGACATCAGTCATGGGGAGTAGGGAACAATGAGTGGACAGTAGAGAGGGGGGACGGGTGCAGGCAAGGTGCTAGTTAAGAAGATGTTCTCTGAAGAGCAGGGTCTTCAGGAGTTTCTTGAAAATTGAAAAGGAAGCCGCAGTTCTGGTAGTGCTTGGAAGGTCATTCCACATTTGTGGAACGATGCATGAGAAGAGTCTGGATTGTCCTGAGTGTGATGTAGACACTGCTAGCCGACGATCCTGTGATGACCGGAGCGGCCGGGCCGAGACGTGCGTTTATTTAAATACTAGCTTGCTTAAAGAGCAAGAAAAATGTCTCCTAGTCTACCTTTAATGTACAATAAACAAAAAGGTGAAATAAAACAAACCCATGCTGCCAAAGGAAACGAGATGGCACAAAATACCAGTTGTCGTTTGTCTAGGTCCAAACATCTTTTGTTATCCAAGACTTCAGATGGTGTTTTTCTTTTTGGGACTCTGGTAGTTTGTCCTAAAGTTGAAGTGGTAACAGCCGGCTGTTTCTCCATTACTGCCAGACCAAGCTCTGACACCGGTCATACAGGAACCAACAGCAAGTATCAAACCACAGAGTGTGTTTCAACTACAAGGGGATCACACTCCTGAGCCTCCCTGGTAAGGTCTATTCAGGGGTTCTGGAGAGGAGGGTCAGGTGGATTGTCAAAACTCAGATTCAGGAGGAACAATGTGGTTTTCGTTCTGGCTGTGGAACACTGGACCAGTTCTATACCCTTAAGAGGGTCATGGAGGGTGCGAGGGAGTCCGCCCAACCAATCTACATGTGTTTTGTGGATTTGAAGAAGGCGTCCAACCATGTCCCTCAGGGGGGGCCTGTGGGGGGTACTCTGGGAGTATGGGGTACCAGGCCCTTTGATACAGGCATTTAATAAAATGATTTATATAAACAGTATTACCCAATATTACATTTCACATGTTCACTCAGCATAAAAAGCTGTCAGTCTGTTGCCTTGGCAATTGGGTGTGTGTTGAACCGGTGTATTGAGCTACTGAGTGTAATTTGTCTAGTTTTGCACCTGTTGTTTCAGTGGTTTTCCCTCTTTTCATCAGGACAAGAACTGGAATAACCGCCTTAATCATTTGGAGTAGAATGCCACAACATATCGCCACTTTGCTGTTATGGCGTTTCGCACTGAACACGTTATTACGAAAACATTTGTGTTAAAGCAAGATTAAATCACATAATAACAAGAAACTTTCTCATTATTATGAGATATCGCCCCATTATTTTTGTCCTTGCACTGACGGGAACACGTTTCAGTAATTTGACAAATATTTTGACCTTAAATAAACACTTCACAACAAAAAAAAAAAAAACCTCTGAAGTTGTGTTAACCACTCACCTGCCTCCTAGTCGCTCAATCCGCTCTTTCTCTTGGGGAAGCTCAGGTTTATGGTCCTGCGTGATTTCAAGCGCCTGCAGCGTGATATCAGAGTCATTTTCCTTCACTCCAACCACTACCGCTGAATCCCCAACATGTGCAACATACATGTGAACTCCACGGATTACTACAACACTGGCTGTGGTGCCGGATGTACTGGGAAGGCCAGTGATGGTCTTTGGCCACTCCGCTGTAAAAGAGAAGCAAACAAAAGCAGATGGCTGCAGTCATAGATCGCCCATTTCAGATTTCAAGTAGACGTTTTTAAAAGGGTCGTTTAGTAGGGCTAAGAAATAAGTCAATATTGTATTTTTCTGTTTCAGCTCCAAACAATCAGAATTAAAGCAAACTCAGATGCATCAGGTGGTGGTGTCATAAATAGGGCTGAAACGATTCCTCGAGTACCTCGAATAATTCGAGTACAAAAAAGCCTAGAGTCAAACTGTCTGCCTCGAGGATTCGACACACTGCACACGAGAGTAGCGAATGCAACTTAACTTTCTCTTAAGCCATGGCGGACAACGTAGACCCCAGTGGAGTGCGAAAAAGACAGAAAATGTCAAAGGTGTGGGACCATTTTTCATGTCGTGAGGCAGAAAACGTAGTCCAGTGTAAATACTGTAAAATGGATTTAGCCTACTACAACACCACATCCTCCATGCTGCAGCACCTGTAGATGTCACTTCTGCAAGCGGACTCGGAGCCTCTACAAGATAATGCATTTTTGCCTGTATTTCTACATATTCTGCGGACACTGTGCAACTTTTTCGTTTGTAGCACTCAGTTTCAGCTCGCACTGTGTCTGGTAGCAACACGTCGGTCTTAAAATGTGCTAAAAATAGCAGTTTTTACACAACACGTCAGACTTTTTATTGTGTTGTTATTGATGTCCATTGTCCCTCGGGATTGCTGCAGGAGGACACAGGTATTTATGAGGAAAACGAAAAAAAGTAAATAAATGTTTTGTGATCAGTATAATTTGACATAACCACGGCAAACATGCTTTCTCGACAATCCTTGTTAGCGTGAGAAAAAAAGTGTAGAAATTAAAATGAACGTGTGTTAATAGGCAAATAGTGGGCGAGCCATGTTTGCGGAAGAGCCGTGAGCGGTTCTGGTGCTGTTTGGGCCGCAGCCGCTCGCAGCGCTACTGGCTTGCCGGGCTAGTAGATTCTCACACGAGGGGAAAATCGGCTCAGGTTGTACACTTATTTTTTGCACAGGTGTTTGTTTACTGTGAAGTAAAGTTGAAGTGCTGAAGTTTTGAAAACTAATTTTGAATAAAACTTGAAGAATAACTAGCAATTGCTTGCTCATTTTAAGAGGTCTTTCATATTTTATAACATGCTATTTGATATAATGGTTTACAAACACAAAAGGGTCATTTATTAGAGTACTCGATTAATCGAAAAAAGATTCGATAGAGTACTCGATTACAAAAATATTTGATAGCTGCTGCCCTAGTCATAAACAACACAGCAAGTATAAAGGTGACAGAATGAGGGCACAACACACTGCCCTTATATTTTGGCCATCTTATTTTTTAATTTTGACCCCACATCCTCTAATTATTGCCTCCCTCCCTATATTATCATCACTTCATTGGGTCTATATCGTAATTCTAACTTTTGCTCCTCATTTATCTTTTCTCTCACCAAGTACCACAGCAATATCCTAATGTTGTGATTCTCACAAGTATGGCAATAAAAGCCTTCTGACTCTGATTCTCTGGCCCTTGACGGCTGATCTCGTGGTCAGGCTGTAATGCAGAGACAAATTTTGACACTTCAGGACAGTGGGGCATTGACAGTCAAGTTGATTCTGATTCTCTGTAGTATGAAGTCCAGCAAATTTGTTTCCATAGAGTTCTGTTCCCTAAAAATGATCCAGTAATGCTGTACAATCAATCGTTTTTTGATTGAAACTGTAATTACAGACAACACAATCATCAAAGCTGCCATCTTTACCTTCTCAGTGGCCTAATGGTAATGGACTGAGAGATTAGGGTTCAAATCCTGATCTGGTGGCACCAAAGATAAAAAAAAACAGGACCCAGTGCCTCCCCGCTTGAAGGGGTTGAATTAGAGGGTTAAACCACCAAATAGTTCCTGAGCGCTGCCACAACTGCTCCCCCACAGGGAAGTAATTTTACCAGCGTGTGATGATACCTAATGGGACTTTAACTTTACCACGCTCCATGCTGAACCTTGATTTCAAGAAAAGTGTTAATTGGATTAAAGTTTGCAACTTCTGCATGAAAAAAAGTTATCTTTCAGCCCCATTAACCATGCAATTTTCTCAGGTAAATGGTTATCCAGAGTCTTTCTTAAAATGTGAACTCTGGGTAGCGTATCTCAACTGGAGCTTGTTATTCCTAATCCTAATTACCAAATGGGGCAAAATAATCGAGAGTACGACCATATTGCTTTTTCATTATCAAACACTCCCTTGATAGTTGCTATGTGGTTGTTATGTGAAGATTTTACTTTCTTTAGAATAAAAACATTAAACTGTTGCACAATAATAAACGTAATGCACAAGACAACGCAAGCCCTTCCATCAGGCTTTACATATCGTCTTTGACACATCTTTAGAGCCCTACACACAACACGATTGGCCTGCAACCAAATCTCAGGCAAACGACATTAAAAATCCTGCTTCTAATATCTGCAGAAGTTCATAACATTTAAATGTCCTACAGATTATGCAAAATAAAAGATCAAAGCAAAAATGTGAATAATTTCCAAGAGATAATAATCCAGGGGTTGAGGAATAAACAGCTGTGACTCATGTAGGAGTTCTTTAGTTTCTGGAAAACCAAACGTGTGTTGTTGTTAAACCACAACCAGCAGCTAGATGTGACATCTGTGCAGATGCTCTGGAGGAGGAGGAGGAGATGTAAATAGCCTGTTTTGATGACTTACGTAGCTCCTTCCACATTGCGTGGTGACAGGCGATGAAGCCTTTTCGTAGAGCAGCACACACCTCGCTGTGATCCTTAGACCAGAAGCCCCGCTGTCTCTTCAGCAGATCCCACAGATGCTCACTAGCGAAATGTGCCGCCTCACGACCGCCGTGACCATCAAACACAGCGAAAAACGCCACCGATTTCCGAGTGTCAACACCATCCTCTGCGTCTGCGGAGCTCGACTCCTCTTCTGGGGTACTGATGCTGCAAATGTCTCCATCTGATAAAGTCTCGACCCACGCTGCGGTGGCTGGAGCGGATTTGATATGTTGCTCTGTTATTGTTCGTTTGGTGGGACTGGTTTCCGCCTTCCCGTGCCCTACTTGTCCCTGAGACTTTAGATAATCTTCGTCTGTTGACGCCGTCGGCTCGTATTCGATTCTTATCTCGATAACATCCTCCATGTATTTTCTCCCTCCTTGGTCGGAAAAGGCGCTCATACGAAACAGTAACGCGTCGTCCATGATTGTTAACGCCTGCCTGTGACTATCTAGGTAACAAATAAAAGTGCGCAAAGCTGCTAACTATAGATTGGAAGCTAAAAATTTAAATCCAATTTTGCCGCGATAGTGTCGCCGAAGGCTTCCTTCCTTTTTGTTTATCCTGATCCGAGACGTCCCACTGTACGTGATTACGTCACATCTGCCCACCTATCAATAGACGCTGCTGCTTCCACCCACGATAACTTGGAATGTGGATTTTATCTGTAATTTTTTATACTTAAATATTATAAAAAATATTTTTTGATCAGTTTCTAAGCTTTTCCCCTAATATATTTTATTTTATGTATGTATGTATTTATTTATTTATTTTGGTAATTTAAAAGGAAAAAGAAAGAACACAGTAATACAGAATCTCAATTATAGAAACCAAAAAGGTGTAGGCTGAAGCCTAGCTTTTTATGCCTACCCCGTTTACTCAATCACATTACTTCTCAAAAACAAAAAAGAAATGACAATAATAAGATAAAAGTAATGTAATAATGAAAATGACAGTGAGCTAAAAATAATAATTATGATAATAATAATTGAAATATATTGAGCAACAACAACCATAATTCAGCCAGAGGCAAAATACCCAGAACTAAAGACAGAACTATACAAAACTACCAGTAAACTTAAGTCAATGCATGATAATGATCAAAACAGTGATTTAAATACTATAACTTGTGCAAGAACATTACATTTTCATTCACATCTCGCTGATACACTAGCTCACATACGGTCATTATGGTAGTATGACATCATCTTCTTGACGTACATTTTTTTAAAAAAGATTTAAGAGTTTTACATGCCCTGATTCCAGTGTCCAAGTTATTCCATAATTTGACTCCTACTGTTGTGCAACTCTGACTTCTAACATTTGTTCTTACTTTCTCTCTGACAAATTGTCCTTCCTCCTTAGTTCATACTGAGTTTCTTTGACCTGGAATAGCTTCTGAATAAAATCCGGAAATGTTTTATTTTGTACTTTATAGAGTATTTGTGCTGTTTGTAGTTTGACCAGATCTGTAAATTTAAGTATTTTTAGTTTTATAAACAGGGGGTGTGTTGGTGCATGGTAATCAGAGTTGGTACTTACTCTTATTGCTCTTTTCTGTAGTAAAACTATGGGTTATATGTGAGGTTTATAACCCAGACCTCCAGACAGTACATCATATGAGGAAGTACTAATGATTGGTATAAGAGTAATCATGATTTTCCATTTAGAATGTGTTTTGATTTATTTAACACTCAATAATTTTAGACATCTTAGTTTTAACATTTTCTATGTGCGGCTTCCAGCTCAGCCTTTGCTGTAATGTGACACCCAAGAATTTAATTTCACTTACTCTTTCTATTTCTACCCCATTTATTATTAATTTAGGAAGATTGTTTTGTTTTTGTTTTCCAAATATAATGTATTTAGTTTTATTTAGATTTAATGATAATTTGTTACTGTCAAACCAGGTCTTTAGTATTTTAGTTCACTTCCAATCATATTCAATAGTTGTTCTATGTCTTTAACTGTGACATACATATTGGTATCATCTGCAAGGAGAATGTAGTTCAATTTATTGGTTACTTTATTGATGTCATTTATGTAAAGTGTGAATAACTTGGTTCCTAACACTGAACCTTGAGGTACACCACAGTACACTTGTTTTGTTGGTGATTTTACATTTTGGATTTCTGTGAATTGTTGTCTTCCTGTTAAGTAGTTTTTTAACCAGTTATGTGCTGTTCCTCTTACGCCATATTTATTTAATTTGGTTAGCAGGATATTGTGATCTATTGTATCAAACGCTTTCTTACGATCTAAATAAATTCCTATAGTATTATGAGAGTGAAATGAAAATAATAATCATGATAATAAGAATTGAAATATATTGAGCAAAATTGATTGAATTTATCAGTCGCTTTAGCTATTTCCTCTATCATGCTAATTGTTGCCATTGCCATTGATCTTTTTGCTCTGAATCCATACTGGTTCTCACTTAGTAGATTATTTTTTTCAATGAAATCATCCAATCTGCTTACAAATATTTTCTCTGTTATTTTGGAGAACTGAGACAATAGAGAGATTGGCCTGTAGTTGGATGACTGTTTTTCTATCACCTGATTAAAATATGGGTTGTCATGAGCCTGGGTGAGTACTCGTCACTTCATTCACAACCTCTGAGCTCTGACTGCAGGAGAGGGGACAACAGCTGTTCCTCATCTGCGGGCCGGCTTTATAAGGAGGAGGGTGACCATACTACAACGCCGGATGATTGCTACTAACTGGTAGTCACTTGCCCTTCGAAATTTGCTAAGACTTTGATTAAGATTTTTTTGTGCTCGGAAATTTTGATGACTCCCTCATGTGAATTTTGGTACTTACCTCAGGTTTCTGCATCCTTGGAATTCCGCATTCTCTGGAAGGTTATCCGCCTCCTCAACCAAATCCTCCATACATCGATCCACTTGGACCGCAACCGCACTTGGATATCACCCCGGCTCACTCCCCCTCCATTTTCCTGCTCCGTTTCCGCATCGTAAGTCCCGACTACAAACAATTCCCCAAGAACTACAACTCCCGAACTCACCTCTGTTTTCCCTTTAGACGCCGCTTCCTGATTCTCTACCGCTGGACTTAAGTGAGCCCTTAGTTTCTCCTGTCTTAAAATAAAACATTTTAACGTGTGTAGGTGCGGTGGCTTTGGTGAGACCAACAATCGGATGGTCCAATGGTTGCTTTGAGTCCGAAATGTGTTATTGGTGGAGGTTTTTAGACAAATGCGAGAGAACCCCTTCATTATTTTCATTTTTTTAATCTCCAAAATATATTTACAGATGTAAGAATATTGTTAAGAGGCATGAACAATTTGTTTTAAGCTATCTTTTTCCCCAATTTTTCTAAAGCAGTTTTAATGATCCTAGCCTAGAAATCTACAGATCATAGCAGAAGAAAAATGATTTTGATATTGAGCGGGACTCCAGGACAACTCTCCATGATGCCAGCCATTTGTGTGTGTGTGTGTGTGTGTGTGTGTGTGTGTGTGTGTGTGTGTGTGTGTGTGTGTGTCAGGGGTGTATACTGGACCAGCCCAACTTGGGCAATGACAGATGGCCAGTCCACCCCTGGAGAGGTACTTGAGTTCTTTATTTAGAAAAAAGATGTGCTTCAAAATCAGAATCATGTTTTATTGCAAAGTAAGTGAGTCTCACGTTACCAAAAATTTGACTCGGTGAAAGGGTGCAAAGAATCATGACTGAGTTCTGTCTATAGGTCATGGCAGACTATATATATTCATATACTATAAGCTATATAATAATCATGGTACATCTTGTTTTTATAGCCGAGGATTCTGAACACAATCATGTGTAAACAAAGAAACAAACACCTCCCTCAGCTCCTCATAAAACACTGCACTCACTGCAGCCACTCTTTTACTTTGACATCCAAATAAAAGCATCTGTTCTGTTTCAACCTGTGGCTTTCACATCAGCCTTTATAACAAGAAACACATCTATGTTGTCTGAACAATTTGTTTGTTTGTTTTAGAAATTAGCTTTTTAATTTTTCATATTTTCATCAGTATTTTTGCCCAAATCACATATTACCATTTAGTAGTGTGGTCGGGGTATTTCATTTGTTTTTTTCAGCATAGTGTGAATGTAGATATTTTCATGAATGAATAAAAAAAGAAACGAAGAGGAAAATTTTGTGCAGTGCAGACAAGGCTTCCGTCTCCAGGTCCTCTTAAGAGGAATGCAGAACCAATACTGGTTTCTATTAGGTTGTTTCTTTTATGTTGCCTGATTTTTACCATATAATGACACATGGAATGAATAACTGGCAGCAGCTATATACCAAATCAAATAACTCTTCATCAGTGCTCAAAGTAAAGGTATACAAATGGTTGAATGAAAACATAGACGCACAGAAATCATAGAGGCATGCTCAAAATCTCCTGAAGCGGTCTCAGACTGAGTTTGTAGCATTGCAACACTTCATCTGATGGCATTGCATTGCAACATTAAATTGGCATAAGCTATCAAGTGATTTTTTTATACAAATGAAAAGTTGAATCAGGTGTCAAGTTTGCAGTGTAAAATGGATTATACCAACCAGTTTAGCAAGTTGAGTCAAAATTCTGTCTGAAAGGCCCATCCAATCCAAGATTAGGATATCACCAGTCTGCCTGTTCCAACATGCTCTTGCTCATTTAATCAACTTATTTCTCAATGAAACATGTGCTTGTGTTATGAAATATTTGCCATACAACTTCTCATTGTATTTTTTTGTGCTTAATACATTTTTTGCACATTTGCTCAATATTATTTACAACACAATAATTTAGAACCAAGTCTGGATTCACTCACTAAACAACAAACTCATGCTTTTACTTTACTTAACAGTGTTTGATTGTGCAGATGGAATTTCCCTTTCCATTAGAATGAAAACACAATATCTGAAGTAGAGAAACCTGTGTGTCTACTCAGCTCATGATCAAGTAGTGCAACAATAAAGCCAGGTGGAGGCAGTGTTAATCCAGTCACACAAACTGGACTTGGAGGCATTCCTCCCCTTTTTACTTCCATTTAGACAAAAATTAACCAAAAACATAACATGCAACATTCATTAAAAAAGAAGCATGGCATTCATTTTATATTCAATTCAATTCAATTCAAGTTTATTTATATAGCGCCAAATTAGGACAAGAGTCGTCTCAAGGCGCTTCACACAGTAAACATTCCAATACAGGTCAGTTCATTAAGCCAGTCAGTGAAAGTTTTCTATATAAGGAACCCAGCAAATTGCATAGAGTCACTGACTAGTGTCAGTGACTTTACAGCAATCCTCATACTAAGCAAGCATAAAGTGACAGTGGAGAGGAAAACTCCCTTTTAACAGGAAGAAACCTCCAGAGAATCCTGGCTCAGTATAAGCAGCCATCCTCCACGACTCACTGGAGATCGAGAAGACAGAGCGCACACACACACACACACACACACACACACACACACACACACACACACACACACACACACACACACACACACACACACACACACACACACACACACACACAAAACATATACACCAAGTAGTGTGTCTATGGTTACATTGTGATTTCTTAGTAAATATTCTATTTGGTGAAATATAACCTTTATTGTATTTATCCTAGTGAATCTATAATTAAACGGGTAAACCAGTAGTTGCACATTCAATGTCAAAGAAGGTAAAATGTCATTATCAGGGGAGGGAGAATGTTT